AAGGTTGCTCAGGGCTTTATCCAGCTGGGTCTTTAAAACCTCCAAGGATGACTGCACAGCTTCTCCAGGCCCTCATCCCACTGCTTGGCTGTCCCTACTGAAAAGCCTTCTCCTCATACCCCTTTCAAACCTCATGCTTCCATCTATGTCCATTGCCTCTTGTCCTCCAGCCACACAACTGAACAGCCCGGCTCCATGTTCTTGATAAGATGCAGTCTGTGAGCACAAAGTAGAATCACAGAATCATAGAAAGTTTTGGGTGCAAGGGACCTTTAGAGGTCATCTAGTCCAAGCAGAGAGTGCAATCACTGCCATTGGTCTATCGGTCATGCTATGGCTCATACAGCCCAGGATCCTGTTGGCCACCCTTACTGCAGGCACACACTGCTGGCTCGTGACCACTGTGACTCCCACCAGACCTCCCTGGGGGGGGATTCTGCAGAGCTGTCCCCCACCCGCTCAGACTTACCTTGGGATCCTTCCTTCCCTGGGGCAGGACTTTGCATTTGTGCCTGTTCAATGCCATAAGGTCCCCACGGGTCAGCCCCTTCCTTCTCTCTGGTGAGGTCCCTCTGAACAGCAGTCTGGACCTCAGGGGTATTGCTGCCCACCCTTGCCTCAGTTTGGGGCTGTTCACAGCTCGATACAGATGCCCCCATCTCCTCCAGGTCACTGATAAAGACATTTAACAGGGCAGATGCTGGGACAGACCCTGCAGCAACTTCACTTTGCCACCAGCCTCCAGGAATTATCTCAGTGGGGAATTCAGAGACTGAACATAAACCTCAGAAGAGACCCTGGGAGGGTGCCAACAGCCACCCACCAGGACAAGCACAAGGGTCAGGAGCAGGCGCTGGGCTCCCTCAGCTCGGGGTGGCCACTGGCCTCAGCGCCAGGACTGCCTGAGCACCTGCAGCTGGTACCTCCAGAACCAGGGCTGGAGGCAGCAAGAGCAGAGAAGCTCTGGCTACAGTAGGAACCACCCTCTCAAGAAGATAAAAGAAACACTACTGCTCCTTGGGGAACTCTTTCTGAAAGCAAGGTTATCACAGATATCTGCCAAGATGTCCAAGGCATGCATCAAGCCCTCTACCACAGCATGCAAGAGCTTGGGCTGAAGTATTCACGTACACATTTCTGCTTTCTAAAGCCTTGACCACCTTACTGTTTTTCAAGACGATGCCCTGGTTACTAACTACTCAAATAAAGCAGATTCACCAGCTAACCACAAATGACTCCCAGTCACCATGCCGGGGAGGGGAGGCTGCCCACAGGGATGCCTCAGATGGGAGAGGGACCAGGAGCAGCCAGGCATCGTCCCGCAGGAACGAGCATCTTCCCTCCCTCTCTGCAAAGTGCTGCCATAATGATGTTCCCAGGAGGAAGAGTTGTTGTAAACAATTAAGAATTATACCTTCAGACAAGCGCTACACTGCAGTGTCATGCACTATTATAGCTTTAAGAGGATGTTCATTCAATTATTTTTCATTTCTTACTTCATAGAAAACTCAGGGGATGGATCACTCCATCATTTGAGAAAACTAATAAGGTTCAAATTATGCTTTAACGCTTCTTCTCTCCTCTAGATTCATGACTCTGCCTGGACAAGTCACCCATGGAAAGAAGTAAATGTGTTCTGCTGTTTCTAGTAAAAATTTACTATGTTCAGGCTTTACTTCCAATACTTCTGAACTACTACTTCATGCAAAATAGGGAATGCTTTTTAATAAGAAACCCAGTCTCAGGGCCAGCAGGCATGGGCCAAGCACAAAAAAACCCCATAATATAAACAGAATAGATTTTGTATTATTCTCAAACTGATAATAAACTGAGTAATTCAATGATAAATTGTTACCATATGCACACCCTGCAGCACAATTCTTCTTAATTTTTATGGATGCTGGGAAATAACATCTAATAATGGTTTAAAACAATTTAACATATTTAGGGTTACAAAAATGACACATCTTGTTCTAGATTCATGACTCTGCCTGGACAAGTCACCCATGGAAAGAAGTAAATGTGTTCTGCTGTTTCTAGTAAAAATTTACTATGTTCAGGCTTTACTTCCAATACTTCTGAACTACTACTTCATGCAAAATAGGGAATGCTTTTTAATAAGAAACCCAGTCTCAGGGCCAGCAGGCATGGGCCAAGCACAAAAAAACCCCATAATATAAACAGAATAGATTTTGTATTATTCTCAAACTGATAATAAACTGAGTAATTCAATGATAAATTGTTACCATATGCACACCCTGCAGCACAATTCTTCTTAATTTTTATGGATGCTGGGAAATAACATCTAATAATGGTTTAAAACAAAAAAAAAAAAAAAAAAAAAAAAGAGAGCTTTGCTTTACCTGACTGGTACTTATAACAGGCAGGATACAACCATTAATCTGCTGGTTTTAACCCCAGGAAGGGGCTAAACGCTGTCAGGTACTCACACCCAACACTGTCCTGCTCAAAGGTCCAGCAAACCCCTTTCTCTCTGCCTCACACATCACTAACTCTCCTCCATTACTCCTGCAACCTTGGGTTACGTGTCTTTGTCCACTATCTTTGTTGAGCCAGAACAGCTAGAGACACTGAAGGCAGGAGGAGAAGTTAACCTGCTTCATTGTAGAGAGCAAAAAATACCCCACATCCTTTGCTGCCTCATTTCGTGCTTTTTAATTTCCTTATGGCACCTCAGATGGTACAGCAAATAGTTACAGCCACTCTCACATTCAGCTCTGCTGCTGTATCTTGTCTCTTGCAATTCACTGTGCGTTGGCACAATTTGAGACCTCAAAATGGAAAAAAGCCATATTGAGGCAGAGCCGATTCCCCCACACACACTTGTGAGTTTGCACAATTTCCCCAGTAGGAGAAATATCTCAGTTATTGCGCTTTGTGCAAATTCAATAACTGAGATCTTTCTCCTGCAGGGGAAATTGTGCAAATGGCCATGGGAAGCTTTGTGCAAATTCAATAACTGAGATCTTTCTCAGGGGGAATTGTGCAAATGGCCATGGGAGTCACATAGCTACATACCAGCAAGTCACGGGAAGGACCAGAACTCACTTGGTCTCTGGCTGAGAAACAGCCACTTCCGAGAGCGGCATGTGGCAAACATACTTTACGCTGATGCTGTCACCTTTAAGAGCATTCAGATGTGCTTCAAAGAGTAAATACACATGGGTACGCACATGGAAGTGCACGTGTGCAAGATCTGTGCAGCATCTCAGGCTGTTACACTGTTGGACAAAACTCAAGTAGGCTTTGTTATTGCTAAAAGAAGGGCACTGCACCAAAAACACGAAGCGGAGACGCTCATCCATTGCACTCAATGGCCAAGAGCAGCTGCTGGTATAGTACAGCTAGCAGCCCAGCCCTCTCCCACCCGCACGGCGGTATGTGCTTGTGGGTCACCAGACGAGCTACGGTACCACAGAGGAGATGGGAACTGGAAGAGACGGGAAGAAGGTTACATTAAGATGTGTTTACAGGAAGGCAGGTTGCCAGTGTAATAGTTCTGCAGCTTCAAATAGGGTAAGGTTTCTTTAATTTGCTACTCACAACTCATTGAGGAGATAACTGGGTGGCACTTCAATGTGTGCACCGCCTGACGGACTAGTTTATGAATGGGCTGAGCATATTAAAAGAGCCCTAAGGATACCTAAGGCAAGGCTCCTGAGGCTGGGCATCCTTCACACCTCTCTCCATCGAGCCGGCCTGCATCCCCTGCACATCCACGCACCTCTAGCCCACAAAGCGTGCAGCAGTTGCACAGGGAAGGCAACACCAGGTTCAAGGGCGTTCAGGCTCACACCAAGCACACCAAAACAAGCACTAGCTCTCGCACACAGGCCAGTGGGTACAGTTACTATCGGTATCAGTAATGCACTGCCTGGAACAGAGCTCAAGTTGAACACATAATGAAAACTGGGTTTGGACCAAGCAGCGCTGCAGCACAGACACGAACCTGCCCAACCCCCCGGCAATCCATCCCGCTGGACCGAGCTGGGCAGGTTAGCAGCGAGCGGGAGCCTACACGCCCCGGAACGGGCGAGTCGCAGTTTACACCGTCCACTTGGCTTCAGGAGCATCCC